AATGTTTACTCACTTAATAAATTTTTTAATTAGTAACTGTAATAAATGATTGTAGTAATAGAAGAAAAAATTCTAACAAATGCAAAAAATGTTGTCAACAATAATTGAGTATCAAAAGACAATTCTTGGATGTGGATGAAACTAACTAAATATTTGGAAAGTAAATAATACATAACTGTTTCTGTCAAAATACGTAAAAACAAGATCGAGTAAAAAAATTGTTTGTTTTTTAAAAGTAATCACTGCGATAATCATTCGTATAACATGCAATATTATTATATTCATGTATGAAATTATTAACCTTAAAATCCCTAAGTTCGATTCGTTCACCAATAATATTTAAAAATTCATCAAAAGCATTTGAAAAAGTGGCATTTCCGAACAGCTCTTCTTCGGTAGTCTGTAAATAGAAATCAAATTTTGCAACAATAACAAAAAAAAAATAATTAAAATTATTGATCAGTTAGTATTAAAATGGCATGTAAACAAAAAAGATAATGTAATTAAAGGATTTGTTTTGTGCAATTTAAAAATTATTGAACTTATAAGATTGCTTTTTCGTCTTTTTGCTTTTTTTCTGACATAACCAAATTTTCGTTTTTTTAAAGACAAAATAGTTTGATATAGTTAATATTGCTAGATCAAAATTTCAAAAATTTTATTTCATCTTTTACCTGCCCGAATCGTTGATAGATAACTCCAAATTTATAATTGTTCGTTAGAACATGTTCGTCATATTTTAATATCATTTCGGTACCACCCGGGAAAGCTACCGGACTAAATCGATCTGTTGTTACTTCATCACACAATAATCGTGCCATTCGACTGGCAGTTGGTCGATCTGCTAGAGCTAAAAAAATAATTTATTTATTACAATACATGCATTTTTCTTCGTTTATATTTTAAAATGTTGCATGCATGAATACATAATGTCATTTTATTAGCATGCATTGAAAAAATTGCATAAAATTTTTTCATCAGTAGTCTATAATTAGAATTCAAATTTTACAACAACAAAAACTAAAATTATTGATTAATTATTGTTAATGATATATGAACAAGAAAGATAACGTAATTGAAAAATTGTTTTGAACAATTTAGAAGTTATTGTAGTTGCTTCCTTTTTTTTTCCTCACATTACAAAATTTTCTTTTTTATAAAAATAAAATTATGTTTTGTACATATTTTGTGTCATACGACATAAATATTTTAATGCAAAAATAACAGTAACACAGTAATAAGCGCAATTTAGTTTTTTTTTTCTTTAATGATTACCGGAAGCAGGGACAATTTCATGTACAGTTCCATGTCCGGTCCGTAATATAATCCTAAAATGTTCCTGCGAGGAGATTAGTTCCGTTCGTGCCGATAACACCAATGGTCCTAGCTTACTGTCAATTGCATAAAAATCATGATGCTCCTAAAATATTTGCTCGTTTATTTATTTATTTGTAATTTGCCAATTAATTAATTAATTTATTTATTTATTTGCTTGACTCATAATGTGTATATTTGTTTATTTATTTATTTGGTTCGTAAAACTATAGAAAAGTAAAATTAGACGAAATAACTTAATAGTGCAATATTAATTTGTTTATTTGTAAATTTTTGCTTTATTCAACAAGATTACATACAATTTTGTTCTCAACTAATTTATAATTACACTGTGCTTTATATGATATATAATTACAGTATGCTTTATCAGATATATAATTACAATGTGCTTTATCAATGTTATATTTTGACAAAATGATTTAATATATGTAATTTATTCATTGATTTATTTCAACAGATAATTTGTTTATTTTTTATTTGCAAATTTTTGCTTTATTCAACAAGCTTACCTACAATTTTGTTCTGAAATCACTTACAGTGCGCTTTACCTAATATATAATTACAGGATGTTTTATCTGATATATAATTACAGTATGCTTTATCAACTGTAATATTAAAAATATCTTTAAAAAATGATAAGACAAAAATTTCGAAATAGAAAATGGAAATTTCTAAAGATAATTAAGAAAATAATTAATGTTGTTACCCTTCCGACAAAATGTCGCCTATAGCAATGTGATGTGTCATCAGTTTCTAATTTTGATCGAGCGCAACTACTGGTAGCCGGACAACATCCAACAACTTCATCATCGATATTAATTGTACAGTTACTTACACCATCCAACCAATAACCACCATCAGCAGGTAAGACAATTTGTGGATATGGTCCAGAATGTTTTAAAATCTAAAATTTTACAAATGTTATCATTTAATTTTTCATCAGTATGAATATTGGTAAATTTAAACTGAATTTTTTTATCCTTATTAATAGTTAAATTTAAATTAGATATTTAGATTTTTTCTTTTGTAATGGGGGAAGAAAAAATTTTCATCTTTTTCACAAGTGTTGCTATTTCAATTAAAAAACAAAAATATAAAGGAGAAAATTTTTATTATCTTTTCGTAAGTGTTGCTATTTTAATTAAAGCAAAAATTTCAGACTTATTTAAACTTCAGTAATTAAATTTAAGGTAAGAAATAAAACAATAGAATGAAATTGATAATTATTTGCATCAAATTCTATTGTTATTTTAAAATTTGAATAACTTTTTCCATTTCCTTCTCACTTTCTTTTTCTTTTTCTTTTTTCTTGCTTTTTTTTTGTGATACTTTTATTTGAAGGAATAAATTTTGCTTTTGCAATCAATTAGAAATAACATCAGAGGCTAAATTACATTTAATTTCAGCAAAAATAAAATATTGATTAATACAAAATTTCAATGTACCTTTTTGATAGTATTTCTGGTTTGCATGATCCCACCTGCTCCATTACATTGAACTGTTGTACTGCTCTAAAATAATGATTCAATCATATGTTGGAAAATATTAAAAAAAAAATTAAAAACGTAAAATATTAATGTTTTGTTGTTCAAAATATCAAACAACAATGTCAATATGATATCAGTAATTGCAAAAAAGGATTAAAAAGTTATAACATTGCAAATGAATTGTTTATATTTGGTATCATCTCAATTATCTTATTCGTAGTATTTGTTTTAATCATGTAATATAATATTAATATTAATTTATTATGATTTTTGATAAGCAACAATTGAGAATTTGATATTTTGATATTTTAAGTACCATAGCGAACAAATGAATTATTCGACCATTAATTTTATCTATTTTATCAATTTTTTAATATATTTTTACAAATTAAAATGTTGAACAACTATTGATTACCGATCTAATTATTCTTTTTTCTTTCTCCTAATTGTTCTTTTTTGCCATACATTTTATATGAGCTTTAATTAATAAAGCGATGATTGTTTATATGAGCCTTAATTAATGAAATGACAGTTTCTTGCTTATTAAATAATACTTAATATGAGAAATTTTCCAAATATTCTTGAATATTATATCATAATATTTTATCAATGAATAATATATAACAAAACATATTAGTAAAAGATAAGGCTAGAACAGTTTTGTCAAACAACTTGGTAATAATTTCACTATTATAAACAAAACAATAAAAAACGGTTTAAAAACAAACTCAATTTCTATCACGTATACATAAATTCAAATTTAATTATATCATTTCATTAGTTCCAAACTTTTTTTGTGCAAAATTCTCACATCATTCTTCAAGTCATTATGAACTATTTGCACTTCCGGCAAACATCGTAAGTAATCTGTCGATTTCGTACTACTGATCAATACCGGATTGCTAATTTCCATTGATAACAATTTACGTGGAAAAAATAGATTAAATAAACTGCGCGTTCGTCGCATTCTTGGATGTGAAATATTGAAACGTTGTGCTTCCTTCATATTTCGGTCTGCTGTTAGAAGTTTTTCCGCTGCACATGCCATAAATTTTGCTCGATCAATTCGTAACTCTTCGTAATGAGAATTGATCCATTGATAATTATCATTATTATCATTGTCAACACCATCATTAATCCAATTTTGATTTTTATTGTGCCATGACATCATAAAACGTTGATTCACTGATAAAATCGAATCATCTTTCTCATCTTTCGCTTCCTTCACCTCATCATTATCATCATTCTCATGATCAACATTATCATTATCACCATCGCTACCACTGTCACTATTATTATCATCACCGAAGCTGTTAAAACAAGTGCATGGATTATTCATTGTAGCCAGATGATGTGACGTGGGACAATATGAATCATTCCTCTGCTTTGAAATCGAATTCCAATTATGATTTGTTTCCAATTTATTCAAATTTTCAGCTAGCAAATCAAATGAAAAACTTTTCTGGGATGAAATTGGTTGTGTCGTTGAAATAAGCTTACGATATTTGAATGATTGATTCAACAAATTTTGCTTCCCATGATTGCGACATTTTGCTATAATGCGTCGTTGAGATGTTTCAAAAAGCAATCGATTGAAATGATCGACAGAAAAATACTTTTTCACCGGTAAATTTTCATAATCATTGGGATAACAAGTTGAATTATAACGTAAATCATTGGTATTATTGTTGTGATTATTGTTATCATCACGATAATATAAATCACTATTATTAATAGTATTAATGCTTCTTGACTTTTTAGGATTTAATCGTAATTCAGATTCAGCAAATGGATATTTTGATTGATTAACGATTGTTGTAATGGTAGAAATGGTGGTAGTAGTAATTGGAACAGTAGTAGGAGTGATAATAGATAATTGTTTGGCCATTTTATAAAGCGAAACTTCTAAAATCCATTTTTTATTGATTATAATGGATAACAGATTTCAAATAATTATTGCTCAATTACAGCGATTCATTGGATGATGATGTTAAATTGATGGAATGAAATGAAATAAAATCAAAATCAATAAAGATTAAATGAGTATGTGCAAAGTTAGCATTCTAACACATTTAAATCTTAATGCAACATAATTACTTAATTTCATATGGCTACGTGTGTTTTTAGAAATTAACCTATATGAAAAAAATTTCAAATTATTAAATACAACAAAAATTTTTAAACAAAATCTTAGAAAACCAATGCAAAACAAGAAAATAGAAAAACAGAGAATTTTTTTTGACACATAAAAATATCATATGTGTAAGCTATAAATATAATGATATTAGTCATTAATAATAATAAAATTGATATTAATCAATAAATTATATTATTCATTTTATTGCAAGTGAGGTGATAATAATGATAATGATAACAGTAATAATAATGATAACAATGACAGTAATAATAATGATAATAATGATGATAATAATGATGATAATAATGATGATAATAATAGTGATAATAACAATAGTAATAATTATAATAATGAAAATGAT